ACACACTGACAGGGTCGTTCCAATATGCGTTTTTGCTGCCTGTTGCAGCGCTCTAGTGCTGCACGGTAAAAACGCATAAAAACGGAAGGGCCGCGCATGCTGTGGGCACATACTTCCAGAGCTTCAGTGTTCTAACTTTTCTGGTCCTCGAGTCTCTTGCCAATATGCGTTCTAGCATTTGCATGTATGCAAAAACTCATGAAAATGGAGTAATAGCAGTACACTGTATGGGAGCACTAACAGCGCTTTAGTGTATCTTCTAGTGACCGGATTCGCTTTTTCAAATCACCAGATTACTCACCGAATTCGCCTCTCTTTCAGATCCATTGATATCCCTCCTTCCATAAAAAGCGAGTTACACGTCCAAAAATATCATCTAATTGCAGTTTTTTTATGCGATGGATGAGTTCTGGCGACCTGAAAATCAGTTCTTAGACTGTCTGCCTTCCTACAGAGTCCAGCTTTTTAACAGCTTAGAAGACGTTGATTTTGTAGTGACGAATTTACTTCCATACCAGCATAGTTTAACTGCAAGCTATGGAAGCATGGTCTCCGTTTTGCAAATTTTGAGCTCAGTCTCGCTTGAAATTTTGAGTTTAGTTGCTGCAGTGCAGCTAAGAGGAGACACGAGTTTATATAGGATAAATGCAAGTGAAGCAGAAAGCTCTGATGACGTTTTTTGGGTTGAAATTTTTTCGTGTATATACTTCGTGTTAAGCAAATTTATGCCGTAATTTTTAGATGTAAAATTTGCTTACTGCGTCGTAGTTTCTGAAAAATCAGAGGCGAAGAAAGCAAGTTATTCCACTGTTTGTCTTCTTGGGAAAGCTTTCTGCTTGCATTCTGGGAAAAATTCGCGGCCAGCAGCCAACAGCAGCTTTGCCAATAAAAACTGATAGGGATAACCGGTACCGCATTTTTGCGCAACACAAGACTGATATGCATTTTGAGATTCCTTGATTCTCTTTGAAGCCTTTTTTCCCATAGTCAAACTCTAAACTTTCTTTAGCAAACTGCAGTCTGTTGAAATTTTTCACAGTTACTTGCTGAGTGCATTAGCTGTAACTTGTTCAAAGATGAGCTTGATTTTTCTATGGAGAAAAATGTTTAAAAACTGCTTTATTCCATGCTTTAATGTGTTGCTGCAATGTGGATTTTATGCAACGATGACACTTTTGACAGTTTTAAATGAAGCATTTTTGATAATTTTTTGCAAGGCGTGCAAAAAATATACTATTTTGCCATTTAAAATTCATTGTGCCTGAAAGGGCTTCATTCGGCATGTAGGTGCTTCCAAGTAAAACTACTAATATCGAATATCCGCAATGGCCGTCCCTAAGTGTTTAAATATCCAGTAGTCTAAAAAGCTAGGGATTTAGTTTTTTGACGAAAAAGTAGATAATATTGAATTGAAAAATCTTTTTTAAGAAATCGGTGACAAAAATATTACCATCGGCTCCGCTTCCTGTATTTCCAGCTCGTCGGCCTGGCCTCTTTCACAGCTAATTTAGCAGCCAAATAGTGTTTTTGTTTTTTTGGCATTAATTGCTGATTGGTATTCAGAAAAAATTTGCTTATCAAACTCTAATTTGTAGAAATGTAGACAAATTTAATGCTGGAAATAGGTAGTGAAAGCAGAAAAAGAGTTTATAATTAGAAGCTGAAATCTTATATGAATTTGGGAAATACTACTGTTCAGTAACCACTATGAAAACGAGGTTCTTCCATAATCCTTGTAGCTCGGGGGTGATTTAAATCTATTTCTTATCGAGAAGGCGCTTTTGATCATTAGGACATATTGTTTGGCCACAGTGGCTACAGTTCATAACAACCATCATTAGTTTATTATTGTTAAGTTATAAACTACGCAGGTTTGTTATTCTTGATATAAGCCAAACTGTTAATAATAATGGTCGATCCTTTGAAAATTTCTGTTCGCTGCTACGGTGCTTCTCGTTTTTGAATGAATAGGGTTGAATTCGTTCACTCCTAACAAATAATCAAGGCTTTACACCTGGACTTTCTGTATTGTAATATATATTCATCAATTTTATCGAGAGGCATTCAACTAAAGCCCGTTTCTCTTTGCATTTTTTAAGTTATTCCTAGAAATACTAAAGTGGCCCACCTAGACAGCCAGTCTGGGATTTCATGTTAAACGATGTTATTGGGATGTTACTACATGTGTAATTTTAGATCCTGAATTGCATATATCCAGTTAACACACAATATCTGTCGATATACGTGCGCCACTTATTTTTGCAAATATTTGTTCAAAAAAGAGAAAGCAATGGCAATGCCAATTGCATTTTTTTAAAAAGTAATAAAATCAGTTTGTGTGCATCTTTGTGAGTCCCAGTAGTTGTTTTAAGGAAGCCATTAGTGCCGATTAGTATCCGTTCTATTAAAGCTGATCCTGAGGAGGGATTAAACGTATCACTTCATCTTCTCTCATTAACTACTGTTAGCAAGCACATTTAGCCAGCGACATTTAATACATGTTTATGATTCTCCGCAATCTGTCTTTCCATTAGGTTGAACGGGCATATCAATTTCATTGTTTGCTTTTTTCATACAGACACGGCACTAGTACAAACACTTCAACCTGAAGCTAAAACGAGGTATGGGTAGAAACATAGTAAGGGAAAAAAATTCCTGAGCTTTTTCAAACCAAATATGCGCAAAATTTTTAATTTTTCTAAAAAATTTATTAGTGCTCAAGTTATTTTGACTTACTATTTATTGTAGAGCCAATAGTTTTGTAGAATGCAAGTTCGGGTTGCAGTAGTCGATAGAAATTGCGAAAAATGCGCTTATTGTGGCAACGAAAATCATTTTACGGCCGCATAAAAAATTAGCGTCCGGGATAGCGCCTGGCAACATATAAATACGAAATTCGCAGACGAGGACGAAAGAAGGAATCTGATGAAAGCTAGCCATTTGTTCAATCCTTAAAGAGATTTTTATGGTTTCTATTTTGTGAGCAGCCAGAAAACGTCAACGAAGGAAAAGATCCAAGGAAGTAATTCTTTTTGATCTGTCACAACACGTCAGTGGTTTTCTCATCAGTAACTTTAGTGATTTTATGATGAAATCTACTAGCAAACAGTGTGTTTGTCCCCCAATCACTTACGCATAGTAAGCGTACATATCCAGATTTGCTGTTAGCCCAAGTTAAATGCTGAACCATTTGTAGGGGTGCCTCTCTGTGACACCCATTAACATCAGATCTTTGCAGCAATTCTGGCAATCCTAGTAATCTGAAGCAATTAGGAGTTGAGGAAATACTTCATTTGGCATTTTCGTAGGAATTTATTTATGAATTTCTTGAGAACAAACTGAATTGCATGCACTGCTGTCCATTTTTGCGTGTTTCATAATCCAGCTGTTTCACGCTTGTCATGTCATTCATGACGAAAATGCTAGATCGATCTCTTTCAGTTCTAATTAAACAAAAAGTGTTATTATGAAGTTTGTTTTATTTCTTTTTCAAGTCCTTAAAGAAAAGTGGAAATATTTTAAAAAAGCGAAAAAATGCGACTGAAATTGGGATGCTGCCTAATTTACTCGGGAATTTCCTTTTTTAGGTCGTTTATAGTTGCAGTGCGCTCTTTTTGAAAAGTAGGACGGAGAAGGCAAAAGCGGAATTTCTAGGATGAAACTTCGTGATTTCCAAACTGAACGAAATATTTTCAGAAATGAATAAAACCGATGATTTGCCCACTTCATCATCTCCGGATTTACAGCCAGGAGCATCTTTCATCGGATCACCAAGCTTCAATGTACACCGCTTATCAACCACTCGTGAGGAGTCTGTGTCACAACGCGTATGACTTTCTTAGAATGCATTTAAATTTATTTGCAAATTTTACTTTCAGTCGCTTAGATACCTCATCGTGGTTTAAGAGTGGTAACATTCGGTGGCGGGACAATGGCGCACAACACGCATTTGTAATGTCGTTAAACGGCCAGGCTTCATTAATTGCTTCAAAGGGGAGAGTAGTCTTAAGCTGGCAGTCTCTTCGTGAAACGAAATTTGTGTCTGAATCGCTAGCAACAGATTGATTATTGGGTGAGACATCACTGAAAAAGTTGCCAGTTGAATTTTGGAAAACCAATGCTGTAAGCTAAATGATCAAACCTTCGAAGTAAGATGCTTTATTATTGTCAGTATTATTTAGTATTGCTACTATTTTTGTTACAATTTTATCAAAGCGTTCTGATTCATGAGCGGTTTTGGCGCAGAATATTGCTTTTTATTGTCATTTTTTTTAATGTTGTTTTTGTTGCTGTTATTGTTATTATTAATATTACTATTATTGTTGTTATTACTATTATTATTATTACTGTTATTATTATTTTGCTTGCTCAGTAATTTTAAGTGAACACTGTCCCTCACGGGAAATGTATTTCAGCAATCACCAGAGCCGGAAAATGTCACAACGGTGGACACTAAGAATGAGGAAGGATCGTCATCGGTTGCGGCAAATGCGCCTTCAGAAGCGGAGCAGGGAAGCATTAAGCGCTCGAAACCGCCAGTTTCGTTCAAACCAAGGGTGTTCCGCGGTGCGCATGCTAGCTTCCGGCTACGTATGCTGCAAGAGCAACACATGGAGCCTTTAAGTTTTACTTATATATCACTACTGCTATTCGTAATTTTTTCGCCTCCCACCTTTTTTTTGCCGCTTTTTTACTTCTCGCCATCTTGCTTCCTCATTAATTCTGTGCGATGATGTATATATTTCACTTAAATGTCGCATTCATGCTCGTTTATCTGAATTTTCAAACCGTCTATGCGGTCCGCGGGTTTCGCATTTTAGCGACTTCTATAATTGAAGTTAGTTCTGCATTTGCGTCGCATCCACAGGCCTCGACGAAACTGGTGCAGCGAAGGATGTTGTTTAGCATTGCCAATGAAAAAAATACTTGTTTTTTTTTTTTTGGTGAAACAGTGTGGCATAGCAGTTGATAAAAAAGTTCACCTTTTATTGGTAAAACGTTGTAGTACAACTCTCGGTAACGCAGAGCCTGTAGGAAGGCTGTGTGACGAAAGCAGCGAGGTACTCGTACGTCACGTAGGTATCAAGGTGGTCCGGCAACCTTTTTTTGTTTCCCGTAGTAAGTCAGTAGCTTCCTACTCGAAACCATTCGAGTTCCCTCGAAGAAGCGAAGATAATGACCTTGGCAACAACGACGAAATTTCACTGAGTACTAGACTGCCGGAAACCAAGGCTTACAGCTTGACCTAGTAATCGAACCTTACAACTTGATTTCCCCGTTTGATACACTCTGTTAACTGAACAAATTGCTTTTAGGTATTCATTTCGAAAAAACGCACGCCACGGCAGCAAAAATTGAGTGAATTTCAAGGTGGCGATTTGAATAAGTACACATCTGGAATGTATGCAATACAAAATGGCAATGAAATTTTTGGCGGTGCGTTTCTTTTGCTGCCGAAATAAGCTAAATTTAATTACTTAATCCTGTTTTTAAATTGTGGTGCTGTTAAAAGTCACAAATACGTCGCCATGCTTTTTTGGGTCCACCATATGATGAACAATGGACTTTTTTGACATTGAAACTGTAAACTTTTGGATAACTGTCACATTAGCAAATTTTGAGAAAATTCATTAAAAAGAATAAAGCGGTGTAAAACAATAATAAAAAATACAAAGCCTTGCAAGTAAGTGGAAAGCCCAAAATTATTTTCCACAATTCTCATCAAACTATTTGACTGTTAAAGATCAATTTCTGTCTTCATTTTATTCATTTTTTAATGATTATTTTTTTAAAGGCCGTTTTTTTTAAGTGACAAGTTCTTTGCAGTTAGCATTCCTGTCAGATGTAACAAAAAGTTTAAAAAACTTCCTTGCTGAGTGCGTATATTTAGCCGGTTTGTAAAAAAATAGAGACACAAAGTGCTAAATTAGCCCTAAGCAATTTGAAAAACAAGAAATTTCTTGATTTGTTGGATCCGCAGAGTTTTGGGGGTATCGCAGAAAAGCCGAAGGGTCAAAATACTATCACGAGAAAATTAAGACGCTGCAGTAGTTTACTCCAGGAGGAATTCTCCTAAAAATGCGAGTTTACACAACAGCAGACCGACATTTATATGTACTCTTGCTACTCATTACCTGTTTTGAATTTTTAAATAAGTTCGCTTTCCTGCAGCCGCTTCATGGCGAATTGAGGCAAAACCCCTTCCGTAGTATTATCTATGAGGGTTGGAAGCACCTAGAAGCATGCAAGAGTGGCAAGTATCGACAGTAAACACCATCTGGCTAAGCTGACGATGGCTCCCGCATTTGAGGATTGCTCATAAGCACACTTGGCTGCAGTCAGTTGAAGAACCATAATTAAAGGAA